ATATGTATAATTGTACAAAAAGAATATTAATGTGTATTGGACGAACGATTATAATCGATATGCTAACTTTCTGTCTGTGAATAATTTGAATTTTCCTCAATACTTATAGCGCAAGGTACATACTCTTGTCCTGATTCCTGCAAAAAAATAAATCATCTATACACATATAATTTGTTTGTAACGAACAAGATTTTAAAAATAAACAAATACAAATACATACTGAATTAACAATAATTTGTCGTCCTTCTTCTAAATTAAGCCCGTCCACATCTTCTGCTGTTAATATTATTACAGAATCTTCAGGCATACTATTTTCATCTATGTAAGTTATAGGAATTTCCGATGAAACCTACAATTGAAATTTGTTAATAAATAATTAGATTCAGTACGCGAGAAATAATAGGAGCGTCTGAAAACTTTCAATACCTCGCAATATGTGAAATCAGATCCTTCTTCTACCTTCGCTTCCGGATTATGTTTAGAATCCGTTATTCTTTGCTTCTTTGAGTTTAATGAACGCTCTGACTTTTTGCCGTCTTGTTGAAGGCGTCTCCATATAGTAGTCTTTGGAATATGATAAGTAATTGACGCTGCTGCTTGTGACATTTTTCCTCCTTTACAAGCAGCAACAGCTTCTTCTAAACGAGATTTTTTTAACTCTTCATTTTCCGTTTTACGCTTTTTCCAAAATGATAATGGTAGTTTTCCCTCGTCTACCAATCGAGCTTTATCTCTAAATAAAGTAGTCTTTGGAATCTGAAAACATAGTTATTGTTACTACTCTAAAAAAATCAAATAACGTTATAACCGTGTAATCGATTAACAACTAAATAATTTACTTTGAATTCAAGTGCAACTTTGGTTAAATTCTCTCCCCTTTCTAGAGCTTTAACTGCAGCTTCTCGTTTATCAGAACCATAAGACCGTTTCATTTCAGAACGTAATATTTGATACCCTTCTTTCTGAATCCTTCTCCATAAGACAGTTTTGGGTATACTAAACATTTCTGATGCATGTTGCAAACTTGATCCACCTGCAATAATAATGAAGTAAATTGGGTAATACTATAGAATCAGAATTTTATTAAATATGAAATAGACACCAACCAATTACCGCATTTATAGCAGCCTTCATACATTCCGCGGGATACTCATTTCTCGATGCGTTCAAATGTATACCTAATGCTTTAGCACGCATGTACAAAGTCGAACGCGGTATGTTATGTTTAGTAGAAGCTTCTATCAATGTTTGACCAGACTTTAAATCATTAATTGCCGACGCTAGCATATCATCACTATAATCTCTTTTCGTTGTGTCTCGTCTACGTTTCTTTTTTTTATGTGAAATGGAATTTTCAATGATCTCTTGTTTTTGTTGGTCCTCTAAATCTTCATAACCATGTTGCAATGTATTAATAACATTTTCTTCACTCTCACTAATTACAGTCATTGGCTCCTCATTATTATCATTAAAATCTTTAGTGCTCGCAATAGAGTCACTTTCATCAAGTCCATCGATCTGTAAATACAAGGTACATCAAAGAGAAGAAAAATATTTTCATACTATGCGTTTAAATAATGAAACCAACCTCAATGAGACCACAAATTTTTAATGAACGTGCTGCATCTAATAAACTACTGATATTCTCAACTGGGACCCTTACTTCTCCATGGTAAGTGAATTCTATGATAGATTTTATATCTTGAGCAGATATATCGCTTAATATTATCGTTGGATGATCTTCATTTACTTGACTCAATATTTCCTAGCAGTACAAAGACACATGAAAAGGAAATCTAAATGTTCATTTATATTTAAGAAAAGAGATGTTTAAAGTTCTTATGGGAAAGAAATTATAAGAATTCAATCTGAATTACAATATTAAATGTATAATTCGAGTTCTTGATAACTATCTAAAACTCATCTTAAAATAACTATTCGAATTCAAAACTACAAAGTGTATCCGTAAAAATACAAAAGTTGTTTACTCGAAACAAAGTGCTGCAAGCACAGAGAACTATGCGATGAGCATGAATACGTTCTCCAGCAGCAGCCAGAGTAACATCCACCATACAATCCTCCTCCAAAAGTTGTCTAACTACATCGGATAGATGGTTTTGATAATCATTCCATTTAAACCAGTAGCTCTGATTAATCTCATGTTGGTTAGCAATCTCGGACATGCCGTTTCAGTTTCGTTTCCTTTTCCAATTTCAATAACCCGTATACGACCGGAATTTGGAACAGGACTGAACTCTTCACACCAAGATGTGGACTTTAGTTATTCGTGGCACTTTTTAAAAACTATGATAAACGTCAATAATTTTTTACGATTATTTTGTTATATTTATGCTTTAATTATTCTATAGACATATTACGTTCTTACGTAGGCACTTATTTGAAAATTCGATGTAATAACAAGTAATTCTATGAAAGTTTGATTGTAAGTTAAAGGTGCATTGTGATTGGTAGATACAAATACAATTTTTCCATTTAAGATATAAAGCGTATATCAAGAAATATTCATAATGAACAATACAAAGGAACATTTGTCTACATTGAATTAATTCCAATTAATTATAGTTATAAATAATATTTAAATTTCATTTTCATTTAACATTTTATATCTTTCACATGAAATAAATGCTTTCACTACAGTGTTGGTATGAATGCATGTACAGAATAGTTGGGTTCTCTTCTATGCATTAGTAAACTCGTGTCCTTTTCTATCGTGAGAGTTTTGTGATTGCTTTGAAGTGACGGGGTGTTCGTTTGCTGACTTTTTGACTATTTTATGTAATTGTGTATTTTAAAACAAAATGGTTAGTTATTTTGTACATATCGGTGTTTTCACATGTTACTTTTAATCAGTGACCGGACATCAGAGTTTCTTGATATTTTTAAACATGTGACAGCATAACCTCGATACCGTTACTTTGTTAAAAATGTCATACTTTATCAAGTGTGAATACATTTTCGAAAATTTGTACATTTCTTTTTTTAAACATCGTTTCATTATTCTGAAACCCCGACAATTCTTGTTGCAGTACTTGAATTAATAATTAAAACTTGAATTATTATGCAATGTTTCGCAATTTATTGCGGTTATGTTATTCCATGTACTGTAAAATTCGGTAATGTAGTTTTTATAAAAACTTCTGTACGTAAGAAAAGGATACATACAATATTGTGTTCGTTATATTATTATAGAAACCTTTGATGTTACATGGGCACGAACGTGCCATAACGAAAATTAAATACAATAGAGAAGGAGATTTATTGTTCTCTTCTAGTAAAGATAAAAAACCAAATGTTTGGTATTCTTTGAACGGCGAACGTCTTGGATCTTTTAATGGGCACAATGGTTCTGTATGGTGTATTGATGTTAATTGGGATACAACAAGATTTTTATCTGGCAGTGGTGACAATTCGCTAAGAGTTTGGGATTGTCAAACTGGTTTGTATCTTGTATCTATTTAATATTTTTTTATTTGTTTTTTAAATTTATTTGTATACTTAACACGTGTATTATATTGTAGGAAAAGAAATAGGTCAACTTCACACAAATAGTTCAGTGAGAACATGTAGCTTTAGTTATTCAGCAAACCTTGCTGTTTATTCAACAGACAAAGCTTTAGGACACCAGTGTGAAATGTTTATCATAGATATCAAGAATGTTGATGCAGTATTATCACAAGAAGATGCAATTGCCAGAATTGCTGTCACTGAACCCAAAATCACTGCTATTTTATGGGGTGCATTAGATGAAACAATTATTACTGGTCATGAAGATGGTGAAATCTGTCTTTGGGATGTTAGAGTATGTAATATATTTATATATATTTTTTTTTTAATTGTTAATTTTATTCCTTTCTTTTTTGTAGACAAGGAAAAAATTAACAAGTGTTAAAGGTCACAAAACACAAATAAATGACATGCAATTTAACAAAGATGGCACTATGTTTGTAACTGCATCAAAAGATAATACTGCCAAATTATTTGACAGTGAGTCATTAGTGTTATTGAAAACATACAAAACAGAAAGGCCTGTTAATTCTGCCACAATTTCTCCTATTTTTGATCATGTACGTATTTGTGGTAGTTAAGAACATTTGGACATTTGTGAAATCACATTTATCTCAATTGGTAATAATCATTTTTTTTTATAGGTGGTTCTTGGAGGAGGTCAAGATGCTATGGATGTCACAACAACGTCCACGCGTCAAGGAAAATTCGATTCTCGATTTTTCCATTTAGTATTTGAAGAAGAATTTGCGCGTTTGAAAGGACATTTTGGTCCAATTAATTCTCTTGCGTTTCATCCTAATGGTCGTAGCTTTTCAACGGGTGGAGAAGACGGTTATGTTCGTATTAACACATTTGATCAATCTTATTTCGACTTCCATTTTGAATACTAATTTTCTGAGATAAGAAAAATAAATATGTATCAAATAAATAAACGGTATAAATTATTTTTTCCATTAATTTTGCTTGAATGTCCTGGTTAAATGTAGTAATAAAAGTAAATGTTTCTATATTATGTTATTTTATTGTTTACTCATGTAAAAAAAATGCTACATTGCATTTATAAACAGTATAATATTATTAATATCATATAGTAAGAGGTAGTATCGATAATAGTTTATGTCTAAATATAACGATGAATTATAACGTATACACTTGAATGTTTCAGTATCACCAGTTAGCTCAATTATTTAAAAAAATATTATACTTTATACTTGAAATTCATTTTCAATAAATATCGTGCTTTCACCTGAGCAATATCGTATACAATGTATTCATTGTATAATAGTTCAGATTTTTTCGGTAGTTTAGTAGATATAGGTACGCCATATGGAACTTCAACACCATCTTTCATTTTGTAAACGTTTTCTGGATCAGGTTGTGTTATACCACGACCCCACGTTGAGTGTTTCCCACTCGGTAACTTCTCAATATAATCTGCTTGATATCTTTCATACATGTTACCTAATGCTACCTCGCAAAGCAATAACAATCCCATAGGACTTTCACTATTTGTACAACAATAATTCGCAGATTTGGAAACCATATCTGCGAAGTATATACCTTTACCAAACATGTAACCAGTAACAGGAGCTTCTGGAGGAGCTATTCTTAATCCTTGAGAAAGTATACCAGCAAAGTTAGTGGTTCTGGAACCGTGCCACAATAACTTTTTATTCGGTAACTTCTTGAATGGTTTGAATCTACCATCCTCTCCTTGTCTCTTAATAACAAACACATCTTCAATTTCAAGATCATATTGCGTGTGAGTCTTTCCATGTGTATTCTGCACGTATTGTTTAATAACGTTATATTCTTCACTTTCCTTATCCAATACCTTAATGTCTGTATTTAATTGCTTGTAGTGAGCATCAAGTGGATTCTTCGTCTTATCCGTCTTAGTATGCAAAAGAGAGTAGGCAATCTCCATTTCAAGTAATGCATCCAACATTTCACATTTAGCATGAATTTCTTCCATTGTATCCAAGATTTTAGGTTCAGATACTCCAAAATTATGCGGTATTAAATTATAAAATCTATTTGATGCATCAAGTAACTGAACTCTCTCGAAGTTCTTTTTCTTTAGCACTTCTTGTAAATCTGTTAATACTGAATATGCCTTTTGGATTTGCTTTTTAGACAATTTTCCAAGCGGCATTTTCTCTGTATCAATCTCAAACTCTGCCATCACTTTTTTCATAGTTGCCTCATCAAAGATCAGTTTTATTAAATCTTGAACTGATTTCTCTAGCTCGCTCTTAATATCAGAGTCTAATAATTTCATTGTCACTTCCTCTCCATGGTCAATATCGACTGGATACATTTTGTGAGGTACTTTAACAAAGTGTTCCCTTTGACTCCACAAGTTTCCACTCTTTTCTTCATATAGGCATTCAAATTGGTCGATACATTCCTCCAAAGATAATTTATCCAATTTGGTACCACCAATAGTTGTTCCTATTCTACCCCAGCTTCTAAATAACCAATATTTCTTTTCCTTATCGTGCTTTAATATCTGTAACTTATAATAGCTATTTTTCTTAGTTTGTATGTCTGTAAGTACCAATGTAACTGTGTACTTGTTTTTATTCTCTTGGTATACATGTGCACAATCTTCCAAACCACTATCCGGATCGACAGTTCCACCTCCTTTTAATTGCAGTTTCATTTTACCAGATCCTGACTTCTCAAAGACACTTTTACCTTTACTTTTACTTTTTGAAGCATTTGATTTTTCTGCCACAACATTAATTCTATCAGCTAAGTTACCACCCCAACTTGAAATAGTTTTCTTTGTAATGAGTGAAACAGCAGACTTTGTGTACTCTTTAGCTTCTTCAACAAAGTCTTCAGTAATAACTTGAATGTTAAAATCTTTAGCTTCTTTCATTCTTTTATTCATTTTATCAATTTCATTTTGTGTTGATATAACAGCAGTTAAATGCTCATTAATGTTTGTAGTTACATCTCCACCCAGAAGCATAATATCCTTTTTCAAAGTATCCTTATCTTTTTTTGTATGTCCTAGAATAACAAACTGCATATGTTTCAATGGTTTTGATTTTGCATCAACCTTAGGCCCAGAATCAACCTCATCCTCTTTTTTTACCGCACTCGATGTAGATGGTGCTGTGATCTTTATGAGCCGTTTTTTAACTTTGCATTTTAAAGATTTGCTGTTAAATGTATAAATAGTAATTAATTTCTTTACATACAGTTAATTTGAATATATCAATGTGTAACAATAATTTTTAAGAAAGTACTTACAGATCTGGATATGATTCTTTTAAATCTGATGGTATTACAAATTTCTTTCTTTTAGGATCCTGTGTTACATTTTCACATTTAGTCCATTCTGTCAGATCCCCAGTACATTTGTATCCAATACCTGAATTGTATACAAACTGTCCAGAGCATTTTGGACATGGCTTTAAAGCACCAAAACTGATTACATCTGATAAACGATCTATTATCTAAAATTAAAGAATTTATAAGTTATTTACATATTTACTTGTTTATAAGTAAAAATAATATGGTTAATCTAACATACAGCTGATACTCCTTCTGGGATTTGTTGGTCATTTTTTTCCAACATGGCAATGAGATCAGATTTTTTCATAGAAGATAACATATCTTTAATTACAAATAATTCATCATTCTGTTTCTTCATTGCTTTCTCTTCTTCCACATCTTCTGGTTCATTCTTAATTTTCTTAACTGGTGGAATATCATCTGACTTAATTTTTGGCAAAGCAGCTTTAAGTTTTTGCTGATCATCTTTAGAAAGATCTTCTTTGCCAGGAAGTGTATCGCCACTCTCATAAAATTTAAAACTTTCTCTTACTTTAACAAAACATTCAAGATGATGCCATCTATCTACACCACCATATCTTCTTCCATGTTCACTTTCAAAATCTTTTTTTGATACCCTTATTTCACCCTGTACTATTCTTTCATCACAGGCTTTGCAAGTTGACTTATTAGATTTTGCATATTGAACAAGAAAATCACTTAATGGTCCTGCATTTTTAACAGTACCACTACGTTTTCTGCCTCTCCCAGATACAGGTAATGGAAGTTTGCTTGATTCCTCTACAAAAAGATATTACATACAAATCACTTCATTATATAATATCAAATAATCTGATGTACAACATTGTAATAAACAAACCAATTCTCTTTTCAATATCCTTTTGATCTTCCCATCGAATATTATCATAATTAGAAATATCTGCAGTTGATTTTGGCCTTTGTTTCATAAAAAAACAAGCTGGATGATACCACTTTGGTATCACTCCATCATGAACTGGACTCTACAAGTTAATAGGCACAATTTAATAAATATATTCTAAAGTAAAACAAAATTCTAAAACATGCAAATAATGTTAAGTTCAATGATAGTACTAAAAAATAATATTAATGACTCTAACTACATATGTATTATAATTATTTTGTAATTGAACATTTACAAAATAACGATTTATAAAACCAAATTGAATTTCGTAAATATATTGCGACATATTGCATTCATTACTTCGAACGCATTATTAACCGTAATTTATACCATACATCATTAAAGAAACACAATATTAATTTAAAAAAAATGTTTACAAGTTAAAAGTTTATGAAATGGTATCAGTAAAGATTTATAAATTCACTCAACATTAACGTTAACAGAAATACATACCTGAACAATGGTTGCGAGTCTTAATGAATCCTTCTGAATAGATTGTTTGCAATTTTGACAAGAAGCTCGCGAACTTTTTGCATATTCAACGGAATAAGGTAAATTAGCATCCATCATACCGTTTATAATCGTACTACGATTTTAGTTTTGACGCGAAACACTACAACGGAAATGGGCCATTCAATACGCATGGAGAAAATGCGGGTTGCCCGCCAAATATTAATACGTTCAGAAACTTGATCTATTTTTTCTTCAAGTCATAACACATTAGCGATAATAAATTGCAATCAAGCAATTTTAATCTCATTTGTTATCTGACCAATCGAGTTTAAACCGGAACTAAAATTCAATTTTATACGAATTTTAGAACTTACCTTAATTTTGTTTTTATTACTTGTGTAATTATGCGGTAACACAATTACTGCAACTATAATATTACCTTTACGTAATTATTTTTTTTCTATGTTATATAAGATCTTTAATTTAGTTACAAAATTGACTCAAAATTATACATTTATTTTATACTTTTAGGTTAATTTTCAAACAAATAATTAAAATATAAAATGTATATTTATTTCAATATAATACAGTCGTTGTGTATTTTTTAAACGTATTGATATTACTGTTTTATGTATACTAATTAACGATTAATTATTTTATACAATACATACTTTATTCGTTAATATCTTATTTTATAAATGGAATATTGTTACAAACACCCATTTGTCACAAGTTATAAATAATTCCATTAAAATGTATACCAAATTTTAAGTAAATTTGTATCCACAATCGAAATTACACATTATTGCATGTGTGTAAAGGATTCCACGAATGAACTATAAATTGTAATACAATGTTGGTACACTTTATTTTTATAATCATATAATATTGTACAAATTATTACAGTAAACTATATATTTCTGTAATTACGTCTATGAATGTTTCTCTGCTTTACCAACATGGCTTGCCATAAAAGTGGCTGGCAAGTGGTAGTAGAGTTAAATAATACAGCCATACAGTGCAAAAATGCACTATGTTATTTTTTTTATCGAATGCAGTTTTCATTTCTCTAAAATTATTCCCTACAATAACGTACAAAACTTATTAAGAAAAGATTGAAATTATTAAATTAAATCTGTTACTTTTTTCGACTATCTACATATTCATATAAGCCTATTATAAATCCATAGTGTTTACAAGAAGATAATTAATTCTCCCTTCTTATACCACGCTATCGCTATGTACTATAATAATTTTACATATTTATATATATAATATTTTGATAGATATTATATATATACATACATAAATATATATGTTTAAATGACGCGATGTGTACTAACAAGTTCGGTGTTCCATGATAAATTTGCCATTTCAACAGAAAAAATGTATACACATATGTGTGCCATCCTAGTTTATTGATATAATCGTTTATATTATATTCTATGTTAATGTACATTTTTGTTTATATAAGAGCGCAAAAATAAAACTTAATGTCTTATTACAATGTCTGCGACGAAAAGTTTCAACTTATAGCAATAGATACAATTTACAACTTCAAAAGATTTTTGATTTTATAACTTATTTCATACACACAACTTTACGAAATATTACAAATTAAGCAGCAAATTATAAGTTCCACATTCGTCGCTTAAAAGTATGATGGCGAAATTAGAAAAAGAAAGTATACATGTGATAGAAAAAAATTGAGAGAAACTATTGGTACTCGTTACATACCAAAAGACATCGCGAAACAGTCTAGGGCACTCTCGTTAATTAGTACAATTTGTTACTTGGTATATCATTCAGAAATTGCTTCGTAACATGACGCGTAGACACATCGAATATATGGAGTAAGGACAGTTTTATCGTTCATCGCTCTACGTAATCGTATTAGCGTTAATAACAAAATAGAATTAATTCAAATATATTTGTCTTAGAAAAAGAATTTATATTATAGTGAATTTACTATTTAAGAGTGATTTGCAGTATGACATGTGAGTGTCGCATAAAATGTAAATATACTTCGTATTTATATGTTTTCATAGGCGTGTAGGTCAGGAATATGCAGCTCTAGGATTAACCAAGGAATTAGACTGAAGGCCACCCTTTAATATTTTTACAGTCTATTTTATCTATGTCTGATAACAACAATAAAAATTCTTAAATAAATATATCGGTATAATCATTGATGGAATATTATTACGCAATTAACTAGTTTTTTTTTTGCCAAGAGTTGTAGGTTTATGTGTTGTAATTGCGTCTTAAGCATAATATGCATACACATGTACACGGCACGTCAGTCATTGTATATTACAATGACCGACCGGTATGGAGTACCACAAAATTACGTGAAATTCAGTAAGACAAGACACATGTATCACTCTGCTGATCATTGCTATTTTCCTCTGCCTTGAGATGTACCCGACCTGGTTGTAGGTTTTGCTGGTTGTGGAATAATCGTGATTTCATCATTGATCTTCAATGGTTTCAGAAGGGAGTCATTGGATCTGGACGATGGAGATGAAGGTGTGTTCTTCTTATCCATTACTCGTTTAGCTACGACACTATGTGCCGAGTAAACGTGATTTTCAAACTGCTTATACATTCCAAACGTGGCAGTGCAAACTGTACATTTATAAGATAGATGCGCCGGTTTTAGTGTCATGCCGTGATCTCGCGCGACATGATTTAGTAATTTCCACTGATATACCTAAAAATTAAGATCCACAACCCTCAAGTATCGTGCTGCTTACATTTACATCTCCCAATCTTGCAGACATATAATTTTAGACATTCAGCAAACATGAAAAAACTTACCCTGCCGCATGCGGGACAGCGACCTGCATCTTTTCCTTTGTTTGCTGCTTCTTGCATACTAGATGTAACTAAACCATGAGACCCAAGTAAATGTCTTTCTAGACCCTGTAATGGTGGAAATATGTTATTATAATTTTATCTTTATAGGCAAAAATATCCATAAAAGTTAAATCACAAAAAAACGAAAGATTACTTTTGAATTTATACAATGTGTATTTTAAAATATGGATTGATTCTATTGAAAAAGAGGGAGAGAAAGAGTTGTGTTCTTATGGCTGTTATTCTATATTTACTTTCATGACTGATTCACTAGATTAAAGAAAGGAAAATTATATAAGAAATAGTATACTTATATACCTGATCTGTGAAAAACCGAAACTGACATTTTTGGCAATTCAATGGAGGTCTATTATAAATCATCTTTGGATGTATTTTTACTTTGTGAATCCATTGCATATGATAATATAGCCGTCGCAGATCTCGCATATAACAAACGTAGTTTTTCCTCCAGATTTCGATGAAGTTCCAGAACCAGGAATGGAGGTCTGAGACGTTGTACGCGGCAATGGAGTTATAGATATGCTCGGTTGACTTAACAACTTTGCAGTGGGATTTTTGGGACTTGTTGTTGTGTTCTGAAAAATATAAGGTTTACTAATTATTTTAAAGGTAAGATATATAGTATACACCTAACCAATTATGTAGTATAAATATAAATTCTTGATTTAATAATGTTACACTGTCAAATTGTATCTTATTTATAAATTTCTTTGTATCTTAAGCATAATTTAAATGCTAGTGATTAACATTGGTTTTACATAGGTAATGGAAATTGTCAATCAATTGCTTCAAAATTTATAAATAATGTAAGATTATGTCAATATAAAATCAGACAAATTTTCGTAACGCAAAATGCTACAAGGGACAAAATACATTGTTGAAATCAATAATTACAAAACTAGTTGCACTTCACACTAATCATATGTTTAGCCATAATTTTAAACATACTGTTAAGTCCTATAAGCAATTGTGTACAGCTTTGATTATGGTAAATCTCAAGAAGTTGGTTATAAAAGCCTTTTGCACCTGCGGAACACATTATCCATGCGATCACAAATCTTACAAAATCAATTTAATTTTCCTGGTATGTTCCAACATTTATTTACCTGTGTTGAGGACAATCTAGAGAGAGAGTCGATTACGTTTGGTACAAGTGCAATGGGTGTGGGTTGACCGGAACTGCCGCCGCTACTGCTACTCACTCCCGAGACAGCCGACATGACAGTCCCAGAGCCACCCACCACCTGTCACCACCCATATATTTTTTTACTAATTCTTAAATTTTTATCTACTTGAATTTGTGAACCTGTATCTTTTATAGATATTGATAAAAAAAGAACAAGCCAATGAGAAATCACAGATGTTGCCAATAGATAAATAGAAGATAGAACACCTAAACGTGATTCAGTAAAATGTATATACAATGTAGAGTTTTGTTTCATAAAACAAAGTAGAATACAGATTGGAGAAAACTATAAATTTGCATACTACCTAATTATAGTAGCATTAACTAAATTAAATTTTAATATCATAGAGGGTAATACATTTTTCTTTATAAATTTTGTAAATACTCCGTATTAATATCAACAATAATTATAAAAAAGTATCAGGAAAGTATAAAAACACAGATATACAATGCATATCATATGTGTGCTATACACTATAACTAAAATAGATTATTTCAGGGGCATGACTTTATGTGATTATCATTGCCCATATTAATACTAAATTTTGGTAAAAATTATGGTATACTGTAACATACATTTAATATACAATATAATTCTTTTAATATCAAAATTCATCATGAGTTAAGTATAAGTTTTCTACTATAAAAATACTAAAGTATTTTTATTGATATTAGAAGATTATGGAAATTGAAGAACTTTTTACCTGGAATATTTGGTTACTACCAAATTGGTAAGAAGTGGGAACCAATAAACCGGAAGATGTTGGACGATACATCATTCCTGCAACATTATCTAAAATATTGCAATGTATTGTAATCAAATTTGCAAAATGAATATTTGTAATATAATATTTCTCATCTTACCCTGCCGCATTGTTGTACCACCCGGCCGTAACGTTTTCAAATCTGAATATCTTGGTTGCATCGGCGGCCGTCCTCTTCCACGACCTGTGATTGGAGCAGGAAGTAATTTTGGTAAAAGTGGCTGAGGTCCTTTACCACTCATTGCCATTGCAAGTGCACTGGGGTTAGTCGGTCCAACAGGCCT